TCTGCTATCGGAACGTATCCCACCAGGTATCATTATAGCATTAAGGGGACATGTATATCTATCGGATATCTTCTATCGGAAAAAACCTGGAAATCTCAGGAAATTTTTTTTTATTTTTGAAAATCCTGAAATTCTCATGGAATTTTGTTGAAATTGTCAGAGAAATTTTTCGAATTCTATTTTTAAATTTAAATTCTATTTTGTTTGACAAAATCATTTTTTAAAATCATTTTTTGATAAATAATGCAAGTTTATTATTTACTTATAAATATTATTCATATATCTTTTGTTTTTTTTTAATAATAAATATAAGAATTATATTTTTTATCGTATTGTAAACAAATTATGTTTATATATATATATCTAGTTTTTAAACTATTTGTTTTAGAATGTCTCTAATCTTATCTGGAATTTTGAATAAAATTCATGGAGAAACCTGGAATGCTCAGAAAATGTTTTTATAAAATTTAGATATCCATTCTGATCTAGAGGTGATGAAAAAATTAATTTTTTTTACATATTTTTAAAATATATTAAAAACGTTTTTGTAGAATTATAAATCAATTCGGCGAAAAATAGAGGAGTTATTCGATGGATTATAGATGAATAGATTTGAGCGCGTTGAAGACGACAGGTAGGCGACAAGACGGTCCAAATTCGCGCAGGTAAAAAAAGTCCTCTATTCATTGTATTTACCAATAGCAAGCTGCAGAACTGCATTCCAAAATATGAATGGCTTGGGTAACAATTTTGTCTGAATGAGCAACTGAATAGGTTGAAACGTTAGCAACGAAAATAGATCGTCAGGACCAGAAAGACTCTAAAATTCTTCGGTCATCGGAAAATTTTAGAAAATCAAGATCCAAAAATCGCTGAGCAAGAAGCAGAAAGTTACAGTACGTTTGCCAAAAAATTAAAATTGATGGATGATATTGTGTCAGAAAATAATGCATCCCAGTATAATGTACCGCATTTTAAATTTTATAACAGTATTTGCAACAGTTCCACAATGCGTTTCTTGTAAAAACTGTGGTAAGAAAAGTAGACTTTAAAGCAGACAGCACTCGAGGTCTCGGTTTCAAAATACTCGTGTTATGTGCATCGTGTGAGCCAATATCAATTCTATCATACCCTTATATCGAATCTTTATACGAGATTAATAGACGTTTCATATTTGTAATAAGATTATTAGACATTGAATTAAAAGGTGCGCAAAAATTTCGTGGAACTAATGGACTTACCACCGTTCGTTGAACAACACACTTATGACGTAATAGTGAAAAACATTCACGTAGCTACTAAATCCGTCTGCGAATTGCTTTTACGGAAAGCTGTAAAAGAAGAAATAAAAAAAAGCTGTGAAGCAAGAAATTGTGAAGAAACTGCAAAATTGACTGTTTCTGGAGACAATACTTGGAAAAAACGCGAATTCACATTGTTGTTCGGAATTGCTTCTGTAATTGTATATCACACAGGGAAAGTACTTGATATCGTTATTAAAAGTTTGTATTGTAAGAATGTTGGAATGTGTGAATATTGGAATAAAAAGCAAAACACTGCTGAATACCTAAAGTGGAAAACAGAACATGAAACGAAATGCTCAGCGAATCATGAAGGATCGGCCTAGAAAATGGAAGTCGATGCTAAAAGAAATCTTTTTACGATCCGAGGCATCAAATATTCAAGTTATATCGGATATGGCGATTCAAAAACTTATACAGGAATCATCAATTCAGCGCCTTATGGAAATAACATTATTAATAAAAAAGAGTGTATAAGTCACATATAAAAACGAATGGAAAGTCGAGTTCGCGAGTGCAAATGACAACATAAAGGATTTGATGGCAAAAATAAACTGACTGCAAAAATGATAGACAAATTGACTGTATATTACGAATTAGTAATTCGTAAAAATTGCAATTCAGTCGAAGACATGAAAAAAGCTATTTGGGCGGCATATTTGCATTGTAGTCCAACAGATAAACAACTTCGTCACGAAAACTGTCCAACAGGTTCGGATTCATGGTGTAGCTAGCAACGCGCTAATGCAAACTCTCAATTGCACACTTTCATTCATGATTACAAGGATAAGAAAGAAAGCACCAGAAAGCACCAGATTTATGTTTTAATTTTATAAAACTTATGCCATTTTACTTTCAGATGAGTTTTGTATGAGCAGCAATGATCACCGAGAAACCCTGTTTTATAAAACATCGCATACGAAAATTCGATAACGACTCCATTTTATATTATTTTTTCATAAAATTTTAATGATAAATAGAGAAAAGGATATCATCTTTACGATGGAACAAATCCGACTTTTCCATCTCTATCCGTTTTCTCATCAAAAATTAGCAAAATTAGGCCTCATTTTAAACCATCTATACTGTTAAATCAGTGTCAAATTTAACTTAATATGAGTCACCACTGCTCTTATTCAATCATATCGTTACTAAAACAATGGTGACACTATACAGTGTTAATTTGTCACTATATAGTTAACCGGAGTCGAAGTTTTAGTTCGACTTTGAATCTCTTCCAACCTCAATTAAACCTTATGAATCTGTTTTAATACTTATATGATAAAATAGGGCTTACATAATAAAATAGTAAAGCATTGATACGCATCTAAGTGACACTTATAACACTTTACAGTTCCCAAAATTTTACATTGACTTTTTTTACATCGATGGCTTCGCGTTTTGACTCCGAAGCTCAAATTGGCCTGGTCTAGGTGTATATGTATGCCCCTTTAACGTCTCGCGCGTTATCTTGTCGCTGACGCTGAGAAAGCGTGAGATACACGAATCGTTATTACTTCGCTCAGCTACTCAACACGGGAAGAATTTCCTCCTTCTACGGTACCGCTCTTACTAGTGGTGATTAAGGACACAGCGGTGTCGCAACCTCATGCCTCCGTTCGTAATCGAGCCTCGAATTAGTGATCATTGGTGGAAAAGCGTTATCCCGATCGAGAGAACGAGCGGCAGGTAAATGGCATCCAGACGCACCTGTGCGATTTCTTTCTCCGTATTAATCATATTTCGAAATGAAAAGATTCTCTCCCAGCGAGAGAGAAGTTTCTTGCCTTCCGGGCAAAAGAAATGCCTTATGTCCGTTTTTTACCAATGCAAAGATTACATTAGTTTCAGTTCGATTCGCTCTTCATATTTAGAACTAGAAAAAGATGAAGAGTTAGTTGAAACCAAGATTAAAATTAAATTATTGGATAGGAACGAACATTAGGATAGATCGAGATATATTTCGTCAGTTCCAATCTTAAAGTAATATAAAATTTTTCACAGCAAACAATATTTCATTGTATTATAGTAACTTACAATTACTTATTATACAATAATCACAGAGTTGCCACTGACTTGGAAAATCAGGAAAAGTCAGGGGAAAATGTAAAAAGTCTGCAATTTCGAAATTTTTTACAATTCCCTGCTCCTATTTCAAATAATTATTATAATTTTTTAAATATTATATCTGATGTTTATAGTCAAATACGTTCAAAACTTGTGCACTTTAAATGATTTTAATAAAGTAAAATTTATATTTTATTCAGTATTTTTATTTGATCCCTCTTTTTCGTCATGACTGCATTTTTTTCAAAACTAATTTATTTTTTGCTGGCTTGAATTTGCCCTCAAAATTGTACTAAGCTTTTTTTCCGTTGTTTTTAATAATATAGACTAGCTACGATCCATGAGTCTAAATGTAAAAATTTACATATTTTATATTGCTCACAGAAAATTTTCCATTTTCATTTGGAAAATCTGGAAAAGTCAGGGAATTTTTAAATTCATTTTCTGCGACAACCCTGAATCATGATTGTTTCTTGAAAATACAAACATGACTTTTAAAGGTTTAATATATATTGTTTATAAATATATTATTGCTAGAAATAAGACGAAAAAGTCTCGCAAAAACTCTAAATCATAAATTTTCACCGAATCAAATCCACGTCTCTTTGCGTTCGATGTTATTTAACGCCCCCCATTTGCACGTGCTTTATCAATGGTAGCGCACGTTTGAGATTACATGACAGTACGATGACGCATCTCATAAAATACGACATCTCAATAGACGTTTATCCATCGACGCTCTGCAAAATCCACGAGATTAGCGCGCCGTATCGTTTGTCTCCTCAGAACACGACTTGCCTGCGTAGACGCAGAGAGCTCTGCCAGAAAATCAGACAACGTACGGCGCGCCGTTTGATTTACCTTTAAATTCTCATGAATGCGTTTTATGAATGCGCCTCCGCTGTTCCGTTGCAAACGTCTCGTCGCGCGAATAATGTATTGCGCTCCCAGTAGCTTTTAGCAGCGTTGACTGCGCAATTAATTTTGCAGGAAACGCGTTAAGAATCACTCAAATAAATGCAATCGCTCGTTTTTCCACGAGGAACGCGAGGGACGCGACTGAAAATCTGTTTCTTTGTCTCTGCACTAAAACTTTCTATCTCGCTTTTATCAATCTTCAAATATCTCTATTTTATTTTAAATTAGTTGGAAAAAACGGTTCTGCTGAAATATCCAAAAACTTAAGCTAAATCTGAAAATAATTTTACTTGGATTATAAAGATATTTATGTAGAACGCTTTTAAACTGATTGTTAAATTTTCAAATCTTTTGCAGTATCGTCACACAGAAGATTTTATCGAAGTATCTAAAAATATTTATAAATTTAACTATATATAGATCTAAAAATAATTTTATTTAAATATCGAAATGTAGCTTAAACTGGTTGTTTATAGAATGCTAAAATTTTTCGGAGCGTTGCCACCAACATTTGAGCGTTCTATAATTCCTTTGATGGTCTAATAAAATTATTTTCGATTCTATATCAGCTTTTTTTAGATATTTTAGCAAAACTGTTCTTTCCATGTACAACAAGTGTATACTAGTTGAGTTACAAAAACAGATCTTAGGAGTTGACACGCAGAGAAATTCGACTTTACTTTCCAAATCCCGTTGTTTAAAGCTGAATCTTACGTTAACTCCATCTCCACTATTCATGCTCGGCGAAGACGTCACATTGTGTATCTTCCGCCGCATACTGCTTTATTCACGTTTAGCAGATGACAGCGGAATTTAATGCCACTGTTTGTTCTGCGCTGGATAGGATACAGCATTTTCGGAATATGTGGCGTCGTTCCGTTGTCACTGGAGGAGAAAAAGCATTTCCCGCGAAATCTTTCGCCGTCGCCGGTGCGAAAATACACGATACGATGTTTTCACGGCGAAAATAAATTCACTGGCGAAATTCGCCGTTCGAATTTTCTGAATCTTAACGGGAGGGATTTCTGGAGAAGTTCCAAAACTTTAAAAACGACGACCCTGAGAGGAACGGAGCCGTGACTCACGTCGTCGTTGATGATCGCGAACTCGGCGACAACAACCGTGAGCTGAATGAGGCGATGATCGAAATATCGTTCGCGATTTCCGAAAGCGATGGAAAGAAAATGTGTTGGCTGTGAAAATTTATTACACCGCCGAAAATAATTTACAATTTCTATGCACATATAGCGCTGTTTATGTCGATAATTTCATCGCCAAACGTCAATAAACAACATTCTGAGGTGCTTTGCATAAGATTACGTTAGCAGATCCATTTCCGATGATGGACCGAGGCCGACCGATCTTTTATTTTTGCGTGGTATTGTTCCCGACAGCTGCTCGCTGTAAGAATTGCACGCGAGAAGTCGTAAAACTCGCGACACTTCGTTCCAATGCATCTTCAGGTCGGAGAAACTGATGTGAGAATGTGACGGAGAAGAGTGCCAACAAATCGTTCGATGGACTTGAGTCGTCACGCTGTCGCGAAATACGAGACACTCTGTCGTGATTCACCTTTCGAGTGGATAAGACAACATGATTATCCCGTGACGCAACATTAATTTCCTACAATCCCTCTTACTTTGAAACTTCTTGCGTTTCTTCTTAAATCAGAGTTTGAGCAAAAAAACTTAATTGCGCTCATCCGATTCTGACGTTTGCTTTTGAAATCGAAATGAACATAAAATGTAATTCTCTTATTTTAAGTTTTATTATTAAAAAATATTTAAGCTATAACTGCGTGGAACACACATCGCGATAGTGGTACTTAATGATTCTGAAATTCACTTTGAGAATCGAAATGAAAGTGGAGTATAATTTATAATAAATGTATCGCGATTTATAAAATAGAATGATTGCAATTAATTATGATATAACAGAATGTAATGACACGATAAATAATTTTGTTACCACAGCTGGAGCAAACTCGATCATGATTTATTTCTTTCAAGTGAATGACGCAATGATATATAAACGTGTAATATTTTTTTAGTCTGGTCGATACTTTAACAGAGTTGCCACGAAACTGGAAATCAGCGAAATGTCAGGAAAAAGTCAGGGTATTTTGCAAAATTTGTTGAAAAATTAAAATTCTCGGCTTTAAAAAAATTTTAATATGCGTACATCACACCTACGCGGTTCTGGAATAAACCAACTTAACAGTTAAATGCAAGTAGTAGCAACATTAATAAGTAATTTACATTGCTATGTTAAATTCTAAAAACCAGGACGAAACTAAAAATTTCAAAATATTAAGCATTAGAAAAAATAATTAAATTTTGTCTGAAAATCAGGGAGAAGTTATGGAATTTTAAGATGAGGAATTTGTGGCAACCCTGTTTAATTTACTTTTAAAAATTAGTTTTTTTTCTCTTTAATCTTTCAAGGCACATTCAGCTACATTCATTCGGAAAGTGCCCTTTAAAGGTCAGATTTTATTGAGTTGTCGCAAAAGTCATGACGTATTTTGTCACATTTTTAATTCAAATTTATGTATATCATTACATTATATACATTCAATTATACCATTCGATAAAGCAAAGTTTCAGCTTTAAGAATCTATTTTAATAATTACGTCACGATGTTTTTTTTAACGGAGTTAGGAGCAATTAAAGTCAAAATACTCCTTTTATTTAATCCACAATAATTCAATAACAAAAAATCATAGGAATATTTTTAAATTTTGCAGGGAAAGCTACAAGCTTTTACGATAGTCGAAATTGTTCTCAAATTTTTTTAGGCATGTTACAGACTTACAAAGTGAGAAGAAAATTTTTCATTTTTTTCAGCTGGTAGTCTTCTGTACGTAAAAAAATTATCAATTATTGTATATACAATTTTGAGCTGAAAAATGCGTCGTGATTTTTCAATCTACTATTTACAATCTAATATTTTAAAATAATACAATCGTGTAAAAACTGGGACAAGTTTTCTGAACAATTAAAATTCTCGGCTTTAAAGAAGTTTAATATATGTGCATCACATTTATGCGGTTCTAAAATAAACTTAATAGTTAAATGCAAGTAGTGTTAGCAACATTAATAGTAATTTACATTGCTATGTGAAATTTCAAATCAGGACGAAATTAAAAATTTCAAAATATTATTGAAAGCATCAGGGAAAATCATTAAATTTTAAACCGCAGCGTGTAATGCTGCGTTATATTATCATTATCTGAAACAAATTCGTCTTTTCAGCTGCGAGGGATGTAAGGGATTCTTCAAAAGGACTGTACGTAAGGATCTGTCGTACGCCTGCCGCGAGGAGAAATCCTGCATCATCGATAAACGACAGAGAAATCGCTGCCAGTACTGCCGGTACCAGAAGTGCCTGGCCATGGGGATGAAGAGGGAAGCAGTACAAGAGGAACGTCAACGCACCAAGGAGCGGGATCAGAGCGAGGTAGAGAGCACGAGCAGTTTGCATGCGGATATGCCGATCGAACGCATCCTTGAAGCGGAGAAATGGATCGAGTGTAAGATAGAGCAGGGAAATTACGAGGTAAATATATACACATCCGTGATGAAGGCGTCGTGTCAATGTTTATCGCGTATAGACGTATCTCCTTCTGACAGAAAGAAATAAAGCGGAAATTTTTCACTGTTAAAAATTTCCTAAAATTTAAATTTAAGTTACACAATTTGAACTCAATTTCATGACATTACATTAAATTAAATTTAATGTATTTATAATTGAAAAGTATATTTTGTGTACATGTACATGAAATTTAATATATTTTTCATCAAAATTTATTAAATTTAATATACACGTTCATTACATTTAAGTAATTACTTAACTGTAACTTAATTTTCAGTTAAATCATTCATTACTTTTAATTTTGTTCATAACAACGTACCATTTACATAAAGGAAGCAGTCTAAAGGAACGTACCATTTACATAAAGGAAGCAGTTCTAACAGTATAGATATGTAGTAATAACGAAATGATTGTTTAAAGATGTAAGTCGCAATTAGAATATCGTAGAGAATATATTATTCATAAAAATAATCTTGTACAAATTTTAAATTTACGTATATATTAATTTATTGTTTGCTACACGAGTTTCAATTTATCTCCTTCACTCACAATTTTTAATACTCTGCAGTTATATAGTTAGTTATAACATCAAGATATACACGAATAAGAATAGAGATTGAACTGGACTTTAACTACAAATCAATCGCTCTCTTATGGAATTATACGTTATTCTAATTATGGATTTATTAGATTATAATCAGCGTGAATTTCTGTCATAAAAGTGATATCTTTATAAAAGTGTAACTTTTATCGAGATTTTATATATACTTAAAAGTATTTCCCTACTATATTTTCCTTAATTAAATAAAGGAAAATAAGTTTTGATCTTCTTTTTTAATTTGTTAAATGTTAAATGTTATGTAATAATAATAATAATATTCGATATTTCAAAATTTTACATTTTTAATACGCTCTCCTACTCTAAAAGTGACACAACTAAAAAATTAAACCTCTCAGAAAGAGGAAAAAATATTTTTCAACTTGAAAATTATTGACTAATCAAATAATATAAGCAAAAAAAATTATTCTTAATTATAATTAATTGTCATTTTTTGTTTTACAATCCTTAAAAATCATTGTTTTCAAGTTGTTATGATTTTTATAATTTTTATGAAATTAATTTACTTTTGATGGGGGGTAATATTTATCTATATAACTCATTCAGAGTAATAACTCATGTTTTTCAAGTTACACTTTTAAAAGAGCGACATGTAAAGAATATATAGTAGAATTAGAATGAAATTTAGGCGTAAAGAGATATGTGAAAAAATCGGATTGGGCAAGTACCTATCATTCTACGAAATTTTGATGTCGTAATCGTCATTAGTGATTCTTTACAGCGCTCTGTTTTGTTTTGTCATCTCCTTGGCTAATCTGAAATCTTGTAATGCGCAGACCGCAGTACACCTTTGCAATGCCACGAAACAGCAACTCTACCAGCTAGTGGCATGGGCGAAGCACATCCCGCATTTTACGTCGTTACCGGTAGCGGATCAGGTACACCTGCTCAATGCTGGCTGGAACGAGCTGCTAATAGCCGCCTTCTCTCACCGTTCTATTGATACGAAGGATAGTATCATTCTGACAACAGGCGCCGCGGTACATCGACATTCGGCGCTACAAGCGGGTGTGGTCACAATTTTCGACCGAGTGATCTCGGAGTTGGTGTCGAAGATGCGCGAAATGAAAGTAGACAAAACCGAACTCGGATGTCTTAGGTGAGGAACTGGCGAGACTAATATTTAATTCTACTGATCTATTAAAATTTACTGTACGATCATTTGGATCAATATGATTAAAAAATAAAAAATATAATTTTCACAAAAAATATCTTACTATTAATAGACCAAGTCATCAAATATCGAATTTATTAAAAAAATTTTTTAATAAATTCTATTAGTTGAGAAGATGAATTACATTTTGAGTCAAATAAAGTCGAATAGACCAACAGGGCTAATGAATTTTTAGTGAGCCTGACAATTGATTAAATGTAAAACGAAAACGAATATCTATTAATGTCTCTGCTATCACACATTTTTCTTTTCTTAATTCCTTCATTTTTTCTCTTTTTTCTTAATACAAGCTAAACCAATTAACGAATGAAACTTTTGATTTAATATTGATATCGTTTTTCGATATGCAGATCCATTATCCTCTTCAATCCTGACGTGCGAGGCATCAAGTCCATCCAAGAAGTCAGTTTGTTGCGTGAGAAGATTTACGCCGCTCTAGAAGAGTACACTCGTGTGAACTGTCCGGACGACCCCGGCAGATTCGCCAAGCTGTTGCTTCGCCTACCATCCATCCGTTCGATCGGTCTCAAATCGGCCGAGCACCAGTTCTTTTATAAGTTAATCGGCGAAGTGTGTGTCGAAAACTTCTTTGCGGAAATGTTAGAATCACCGTCGGATCTTTAGGAGCAGAAGGTGTGCCGCGTTTTGGGGCACACCGATTTGTAAAAAAGTAAAGTAAAGGACATAAGAGGACGTCGAAGAAGAAGAAGACGATG